AAAAAAAAAGATCTCCCTCTCCATCCTTCACCCCTGTTGATGCATTTGGTTTCTATGAAAAAAAAATACACTAAAGACCTTTCTCTCCTTTCTCCCTAGCCTAATCCAAGTGAAGGCCTCCAAGAAGCAGAATTTATTTGACATGAACACAACAACTCAACCTCTGAAGTCAGTAAAGAAGTGCCTTAATCAACCCACTGAGTGGAATCTGAATTTTACAGCAGTATCTCTTGCCACCTGTAAAGTTTTTAACCAAAATCTCAAAACTGCTGAGAACAAATAGATTGCAGTTATTCTTGCACTATTATTTTGTACATTGTTTTTCTTCTGCTGAATAATAAGCATTTGTTATGTTGATCTTGAAATGATCTTGTGATTGGGCTTTATATTAAAATCATTAGCATTATTCATTTTGATGTACTTTGTATGTTTTTTACATGAAGGTTTGCATTTGATCATTATGGAATTTTGCAGTACAAAGTATCAGATGTTTCCCTTTCAATAGCATTTCAGATGTGGGGGGGGGGGGGGAGGGCCTATGTTTTTAAATTTAATTATATAATTGTCCCAGTTTATTTTTGTGCACAAAAGTTAATATATTTTGTGACATGAGTCACTAACTGTGTAAAGATTTATGGCAATGATTCAGAAAATTCTGTAACAGGTGGAGACTGGCTACCTCGAAGCAAAGCAGTAAAACAATAAGGCAAAGATGTATACAAGCTCATTCATAAATGTTCAAAATTTACAGAACAGTCAGATTGCACAGTATGTTTTCCTTAAAACTGGTAGTCTAAAAGAAGGGCCACCCTTGCTGGTGAAATCTCTTGAACGATTGTCATTCAACAAACATGTATCCGCACTTTTTTTGATGTTTCTAATAAGTGGTCTATTTTGTTTCTATCAATTTGCCTGTCACCAATTAAAATTGATGTAAACACATTTAGTTAATTGCTTTATTGCATCTTATAATTTTATACTTCAACAGTATGCCTCTGCTTAAATGTTTCCATTACCTAGTAGACATTTTTATCAAGCCTACAATATAGTCTCAGCTATGGTTACTTGACATGTCTAATAAAGTGTATTGATACTAATGTGCTGTTATGTTACTTAGAAGAAATCTACATTACATATTCCCTTTTTCTATATGCACTTATTCTATGGACAGAGCAATGATTCCTTCATTGAGTTGTCCAGTCCTGAAAAAAAGAGCCAAAAATTATCACAGCTTAAAAGAAATGTCCTGATGGTAATCTATTCAAAAATTTTAGACCAAAGTGTCCTGGTTGTCACTTAAAATACATATACTAGATTTATTAAAAAAAAAACAAGGATGAAGATCTTCTTTCCCAGGGCTAAATTCAGAGATGGGCAAATTACAGCGCACAGGCCGGATCCAATCTGCCAAACTGCTGTATCCAGCCTGAGGTGCAGTGACAGCCTCCCTGCCTTCCACGCCTCCCCAAACCATTCAAAGGCTGGCTGGCTGTGGGGCCATGTGTTTACCAATGAGAGTTGCCCTGCACTATAACTGTCAAGGACACGTGGTGCACAGAAATCACAAGTCTCCTGCAGTCCGCTGCTCTGAGCAGTACGTAGGGACATGGAAGGCCTACTTGAGGGCCCTGCTGGGCTTCTGGCTGGGAAGTGCCTTCTGGCCAGAGCTTGCCTCTTGCATACCTCCTTCCCCCCCAACCTTCTGCTCCCCATCCTCTACCAGTGCCCCAGGTCACAAATCAAACCCAACCCTTGCACCTCTCCATGTCAGAATACTTTCCTGCATCCATATCCCCTCCCAAAACTAGTGACCCCCCCCCCCCGCACTCCAATCCCTACCCCAAGTGCCCTTCTGCACCCAACTTCCATCCCAGACCCTTTACCTCCTCCATTAAAACTCCCCATCAAAAATTATTGCACACGCTGGCTTAGTTGTACCTACAATTCAATACCTGCTATGTTTAGCCAATTTTTTTAGCAGTGTACAGCCTTAGAAGTTCACAGAGCTACTGAAGTCACCAAGGTGTCAAACAGTGGAGAATAAACCTATAGCTACACTAAAGCTTATGTCAGCATACCTTATGTTGATGAGGGGTGTGAATAAACCATCTCTGAGTAACAAATTACACCAATAGCAGCATTACGTTGGCAGGAGAGCTTCTCCTACTGACATAGCTGCCACTACAGCGCTGTATACCTATACTACAAAAACTTCCCCATCCTTCCAGAATACAGAGCAGTCAGAAGAGACATTTTCCATCCAAAGAGACTTGTATATCTCAACCATGTTATCACTCAAGATACTTCGTCCCCTCAGATTAAAAAAAACAAAAACAAAACAAAAAGAGTATTAACTTTCCTGGGCCTTTGGGTACTAATACCACACTTACAGAGGGGCTGACAGTATGACAAAACCATCAGTGGCTGATCTGAACAAGCCGAGAAACACACAGTCATACCTGGTGCAAATTTTAGTCATCCCTCAATTTCTCATTAGTATAACTAATAAGGCAATAGATTGTTCTGTTGAGTCAAATATTTAAAAACAGAAACAACCTCTTTGCAGTCTGTAGGGGAAATAGTTTGATTTGTTTGCAAGGCTTTTATTTCTTCGCTTGATTACCACTGAAAATTCCTGCAGGAAAACTAAGAAGAAACACATTTGAACATTTTGTTTTGAAAGTGGAGGGCTCGGACTACAAAGAAAGACCTTAAAAATAGATTCTGCCAGGTCAGAGAGCAGACTGTGGGGTGATGTACCCATGGCAACCTGTTTGTACCCATAACAACCCTATTCAGAAAGGCTGCAACTAGGGATGTAAGCGACTAGTCACTCCCTCCACCCCTTACTACCTGTTATCATAGGCAGCAAATGTGTGTGGGGGGAAGGGGGGGAAGAAGAGAGATGGAGACTAGGTGCTGGGGGAGCCAGCTTAAAAGATGGTTCCCCCCAGCATCATCTCCGCTGGAGGGCAGGAGAGGCAGGGAGGTTGCAGGGACTGGAAGGGAGCTGGGAATCAGCTGATTCCTGGCTCCCGGCCAGTCTCAGAAATTGAGCCTCTGCTTTTTAAATGTATTAAGAGCCTGCATGCTCTTAATACACTTAAAAATCATAAGTGCAGTGCAGGGGGGACCCGGCGTGAGCCAGGAAAGCTGATTCCTGGCTAGTGCTGGGTCCCCCCACACTGCGCACCAACCTTTTAAAAAACCACAGGGGGGGAGACCCTGCGCAAGCCGGGAATCAGCTGTCCCAGCTTGCACTGAGTCCCTCTTGCTGCGCTTTAAGCCTTTTAAATGTGTTAAGAGCCAACAGGCTCTTAACACATTTAAAAGGCAGAGCCGCAGCAGGGTTAGCTCCCAGGCTGGGAGCTAACTCTGCTGCTGCTCCCCCTTTTATTCACTAATCATAGATAATCAACTAATCGACTAGTTGATTAAAGTAAATTTAACATCCTTATTGTAACCTTTTGTACCAACTGTAGCTTATCAAGTTATGCTCTCATTCCCAGATATAGTCATAGGAAATCATGGATACAGGATTTTTATCTTAAATATCTACTTCAGTCTGAAACCAACGATATTGTTTCAGCTGTCACCATCACGATATTCACTAGCAGGTATTAAGATAAATGAGCCATATCCAGCTTCTGCCCTATTTTTTCCTAAATAGGACTTTCAAAATTCCTGCAGTGTACATTTTTAACCTTACTGCCAAAACTTGTTTCTTAATTAGAGTCATCCAGGTGGGTAGAAGAAAGTGTCAAACAATACTGCTCTCCTAACAGCACTATTTTGTCCTTTGCTTAAACAGTTACAGCAAGTCTTTACTAACTGCTGGATCAATGAGCAGTGATCAGTCCACCAGGGTTCAATTTATCAAGTCTAGTATAGACGCAATAAATTGAGCACTTTCCCATAGACTCTGGTACTCCACCAAACCAAGAGTAGGTGGAGTCAACGGGAGAGATCAGCTGTTGACTTACAATTGTGAAGATACTACAGTAAGCAGACCTAAGTACATCAACTTCCTCTACATTATTCTCTTAGCTGAAATTGCATAACCTACTTGAACTGCCCATGGTATCATAGACAAGGCCTAAGTTTTACCAATCACCCATGTACTTCCTTACCAGGTTCTATACTGCCTGGGAATACAGATTGAACCTCTCTAGTCCAAAATCCTCTGGACCTGACCAGTGCCAAACCAGAGAATTGGCCGAATAACAGGAAGTTGATACTTTCTAGCAGTGTTACCAACACTTCCACTTCTTATTGGGCTGTGAGAAGACATTTAGGGGTAAATTAGAGCAAAACAGCACAAACCACTGACAGCCAGGACTGGTCGCTGTAAACGTCTTTATGGGACCAGGGGAAATTCAGTCACACACATAATAAGTGAACATTCAGCTAACTAAAATCATGCCAGACCACAGATGTTGCCGGACTAGAAAGATTCAATCTGTACTTGCAAAAAATTATGGCACAAAAGTGGATGTTCACGAAGCCATTTGGCAAACCTTCAGAACACAAAATCTATGAGGAAATCCACTCATCAATTCCTATCCAAAAATAGGTTTCAAAATTCTAAAAAAAGGAAATAGTGTATTTAAGAAAGGTTTACAAACTTTCACACAGTATCAACAGGGATCACTAACTCCAAGATTCAGAGTCTTTTAGAGAAAGAAACATGTCTGACAACTCCAGGAAGCTATACAAATCTGCAGTGATATTGATTCTTTGTATTCTGTAAGCAAGTTCCAACATTGGATATTTAGGCCTACAGATGCAAGGAAGGTATATAAGAAGTTGCTTCACCATCTTCTCCCCCTATGTATTTTTCTGAGAAGTGGGAGAACTATTATTTGGAATAGATCACTTACCTGATTTTTTTTAAAAACAAATAGCAACTCTACTAAGCCCATCCTATCTCCCATCCCCCCCCAAAAAAACCCACAACCCCCAAAACCCACACCTCTTAAAATGAGAAGCTACTCAAAAAGTTATGAACGTTGCTTTAATACACAGACATACATTTATGCACATAAACCAGTTTTCCATATAAAACCACCTGAAGAGGTGCAACTGATAGCTTTGAAGAGGATGCCATTACCTGATTTCAAAGTATTTTGGCTGCCTTTTACTCCTTCCCTATTAGCTCTTATTCCTATCATACTCTTTTCTGTTTTCGCAGCACCTAGCACAATGATGTCTTCATCCACAGTTAGGGCTCCAAGCTGCTAAACAATACAAATAATTTATGATTTTGATGCGTCTTTGAAACCAATATTGGATTTTATACAAAAGAGTATAAACATGGTCAAAATGTTGCTTTCATTCTTAGAGTTAACATTACATATTTTCAGTTTCAGTATTGGATATACCTGTAGACACAAACTGCTGCTCAGTTCCTGACCACACTTAAGATCTCTTGTACACTTTAAAACAGAAAACAAAGCAACCAGGTCCCCATCACCACCTCACATTAGCAATTCTGACAAGCCAATAATGAGAAAAAAGTACATTAAAATGTATTGCCTTTAAGGACATGCACACCATGCTACACACTACTAATTGTAAATTAACACAAAAAACAGCAACCAGATTTAACAGTCTCAATACTGCTAGTAAGACTTAAATCTTCACATGGAAAGTGCTGTTGTGTTCAAATGCTCAATCAAGAAGACTAAAAGCCACAAATCAAGTTTTAGAACTGAAAATATGCATGTAACTAGGAAGTGATTATCAAAATTAACACCAATTTAAAATACTGCAAAGTTTCTGGGAATTTTGTGTTTTTACAACAATTATAGAAAGATTTAAAAAAATAGAATTGACAGTAAAAAGAAAGCTTATTTTTGTAAGTTTATTGGGAAGAGCTGGCTTTCATAAAGAACACTTCACTCTGTCTTTCACCTTCATTCATCTGCTTCTTTATTCAGAAGCTTTGAGAGATTCATTCGCGTTTTCTCAAGTGCACTTGTTTTTGCTCGTCTTGGAGGTCTTGAACTTGGCAACGTAACTGGTTCTGGAACTTCATCACCACTAAACATAAAAGGCCACAAAAAGTTGCAAATAAGTTTAACTGTAAAATTCACAGCCTTGAAATCACTGATTAAACTACATTCTTTATTGTAGACACTGCTCTAGATATATGGTGTAAGTTTATTTTTAAGCAGCTATGTATCTATCAATTAAAATATGTGACCACCACAAAGGGATAATCAAAGGCAAGTAGTTCAAGTAGCACTTAATTATTTATTGACACATGTTGGTTAATGTTTATCAATTTACAAAATTAAAAAAAATGAAGAACAATACAGGTTGGACCTCCCTTGTCCAGCACCCTTGGGACTTTACCAGTCCTGGATGAGGGATTTTGCCAGACAAGGGGAAGTCATTTCAGCCCCCTGAAGCACCTGCCCCACCCCCTGCCTGCCACTCCACCCAGCTTACCAGCTCCTTCAGCAGCCCAGCTGGGTCGAGCACTGGGTTTCCTATTACCCCTCTGATCTCTCCCACAGCCCTCCTGAGCCACACACCGGGCTCCCCACCACCAACCCTCCTGAACCGCATGCTGGGTTTCCCAGTCCCTCCCCCCACCTTCACAGTCCAGCTGAGCCACTCCAGAGACCTGCTTTAAAGAGATGCAACCTGGAGCATTTAAGTGTAGCAGAGGTAACATTACAAACTCTTCCCTAAATAGTTGTGACACAAGAACAAAACGAAGATATATTGGAAAATAATTAATACAGGTTGGATTTCTTATCTTAAAGAAATTGCTTTATTTCCTTGAAAGGAAACATTAACTTTTCTTAACCAATATTGCTTAAGGAGACTTAATATTTATGGATAGCTTTAATTATTTATTTTTATTAAAATTATTTTTATTTGCTGAGAAGTATGGGATTAAGTTTACAGAATACATAGTTAACATAGTTCATTTTCTCTGCTCAGAACATCTAATTTTAAAAAGGAAGGTCATATGGATGAAAGTGCTGAAATTAAGTTTGCTTGCTAGAAAGAAGGAAGGAAGTTCAAGGCGTAGGGAGGACGTTGTGCATACATTATACCAGGTGGTTTACCTTTCATTGTCAGACTCAACCATTTTACGATTTCTTCTTCTGTTCACAGACTTAGCACCTGGATTTACTTTTCCCTGCCCTAAAACACAAATAAAAGTTATCCATTATCAGAACAACAATGTGAATTTTGTTCAAACAACCTTTATCTCCTAGAGAGAATTTTCAGTTCTTTATATTATTTTTCCCGAAAAAAAATTCCCTCACCACACATGGGGAGTTCCTTACACCAACGACTCAACCTTTCCAGACTTATTATGCTTTTCAGAAGTCCGATTTGTCTTATGTACCTCTGAGTTACACCTCACCTAAAAACTACTTGCTTATAACAATCAGACGTGAATATACAAAAATTTCACAGCATGCTATTACTGAAAAACTAGAATATAAATATTATACATGTTTACATTCCAGTGTATAGTACACAGAGCAGTATAAACAAGTCACTGTATGAAAATTTAATTTATCCTTATTCCACTGGAGCTTTTATGTAGCCTGTTGTGCAAACAGGCAAATATATACAGTTGATGTACCCGTTGGAAGACCTCTACAGACCATCTGAGTTATGTATTTCCTTGTCCAAGAACCAATGACATAGAACACTGGGCCCTGACTACTGAAGACTAATAAACCATGAAGATGCACAAACATCAGCCACTTAAAATGCCCTATTTTTTAAGACTATAATAAAAATAATTAGGAAGCCAATTTCACATTGGCAACTCAAAACCAAAATGATGGAACTGTCTCATCTCAATACCAAGTACTTAGACTGAACAAGTGGGGTAAGTTAATATCTTTGTAACAGTGGCATGGTACTAGAGATTGAGGAGGTTGTGGCAATTTTATTTTGGCTTTCTGAGAAAAACACTATTATTTCTAAGATCACAGTTCAGCTTTTGTGTCTTGCTTTAAATCACATACACTTTCTCCTCTCCTTATATTGCTCAAATGGGCCATAGGAAGATGGATTAACGTTTTACCTCTTTCAACAGGTAAGAAGTATAACCAACTAACATTTTCTTCTCTACACCAACTTTTTAAACACCTACTTAATCGTTCCAAGATTTTAAGTCAGGAATCCAATGATAGTACATCTCTCAGTAATAAATAATGCAATGTATATTTGGCAATAACATTAAACACACACAGAATATCAAGTACAAGTAAAAGTTTCCTGTCACAAACCACAGTCACAACTTTTTACAGATATCTTGACACTGCTTTACTCTGTATAAAAGTAATCACATAAGTAAAATCTTTTTTACCTAAAAGAGCAGTATCTATTTTGTGCAACAAAGTATTCTGAAAACCCACAGTGTATCCTATGATCTATCTTATGAATAACTTACAAATTGGATTTAAATTTAAAATGTTTTTATTAAAATGGGCAATCTCCTACTGGCAGCTACCATATTAAAAAAAAGTGGTAACATCAGCAGTATGGTTTGGTAGTCCAAAAGCAGATTATCTGAAAATGACTGTTAAGTCAAGGCTGTTATATTATTTTTAAAAACAAACTCCATCAGAGATGAGGTTTTATTTATGAAACAGTTCTTATCACTAATTGGCTTTAACGCAAGTTATGCTACGACAAGGACATTTTTGTTTCAATATCTATGGGACATACAGTAAAACTCCAATTGTCCGGCATCCAGTGATCCGGCACTCCCAATAGTCCGGCACCAACTGGAACCCAGAAGTGCTCCGGACAAAAGGACAATTGGAGCTGTTGGTGGGGAACGGCGCGACGAGGGGCAAACCCTCCGCCATTTTGCAGGAAGGCGGGGGAAGCCCCGAGCCACCGTGCGAGTTTCCAGGAGGGGAGCGGGCTCCCCACCCCTCAGACTGCAGTAGTTATCGCTGAGCAGCGGGGTGAGGAGCAGCGCTGCGGGAACAACCCGGCAGCACCCCAGCTGCTCTGCTCCGCCACTTGTCCACCACTCGTCAGTTTCAGCAGCCGCGGACTTGGAAGCAGCGGAGCAGAGCAGCTGGGGTGCTGTCAGGTTGGTGGGGAGCCCTTTCCCCTCCCAGAAACTCTTGCAGCGGTGTGGATCTTCACCCACCTTCCTGCAAAATGGCGGAGGGTTCACCCATCGCCGCGCCGTTCCCCGGCAACCCCCCCGGACACAGTGCGGGTCCCAGCAGACCCGTTACAGCCCCCCACCGGAGTACTTCCCAATACTCCGGCATATCCGATAATCCGGATCCACCTAGGTTCCAAAGGTGCCAGATTATCAGAAGTCTACTGTACATAGATTTTAAAAATACTAGTAGTAAATGTTAAGCTACAAAAAAATTAAGTCAGCTCATACCTCTATTAGCTTTATTTCTTGTTGATTTCAGCTTTGTAGTGGTTTTATCTTTCTGTTCATTAACAGGAGTTTGATCAGCTTCTTTATTTTTTTCTGTGTAACAGAACAATGTTATCAGGACAATCATAAGAAATGATCTTTAGATACCAATGCCAAAAATAAACTACACAAATCTCTACTGCCATTCTTAAAGACTTTAGTCATTTTTAATTGAGAAAAAAATGGAAGCAAACATTAACAATCATTGTGAAGTGTGGTTTTCTTTACAGCAGTAATGCGTCCAGTTGCGTCCCTCCTTATCTGTAACAGAATGGGTCTGTGACCCTACACACCTCCCAGCTACCACACAGCCAAGATTCCTCAGTAGCAGAACCTGTACTGAAGGCAGAGCTGGGACTAGACATAGAGTTGATCTGGGAGAGGAAAGAAGCTGCAGCTGGAGTCGGAGCCAGACTGAGGAACAAAGATGGGTTGGGGACAGTGTTCCCTGTGACCTGAGCGCTTGGTCAGCCATGCTGGAGAAATTCAAATGCAGCCCAGCTGATTAGCAGAGAGTCCATAGCGCCTGCAGCATGTGTTTTTACTGGGGGTGCACATGCCTCAGTGCAAATAAAATTCATTCTGCACACGGATACACAAATTACAGGGAACATTAGTTGTGAGGTATAGCATTCCCTTCCAGTGGGCCCCACAGCCATCTACACATTCCTCTGCACTTTTCAAGAGGGGTACACCGCACAATTTGAGAAGCACTGCTTTACAGGATGCAAGAAAATATGTACTGAAATGCAGAACTTCCACTTCTCTTTGTGGGACTTACACACTGGAAAGACCAAACCAGTAGTAAGCACAGGGAATTTGTACCATCTAAACACAAAGGAATCGCTACCAGATCCTCCTACAATGAATATGCAGAGATGAACAGTTGAAAGTGTTAGTTTGTTATACATATTTTGTGATGCATCCCTGAATTACATTTATTTTAGTCTACCAGTCCTACTTAGCTAGGACTGCTGGAGCTTAGAACTCTTAAAATGATGGATTTAAGGACCTGAAGTCAGTCACTAAGAATTCAGCAGAAAGTAAGACAAATGTTTAGCTATTTAGATAGGAAATTGATTAATAACTCCCCCTCAAACTCCACCCTTACAAAGGGACTCATTTATCCTCCTGTTAGCCGCACTTTCAATACATTACCTTCCTCATTTGGATTAACTTGCTCAGATATCATGGTGCCAGTTTCCTGTTCTACTTCAGAGTGATCTTTGTGTATATCATTTCCTTTGCTTAAATTTATCTTGAGTTTCTCAATCATTCTTTGACACAACCTATCTTTCACTTCCTGTGGTAGAAATGTTTCATATTAAATTTTGCTAATTCTGCAACTTTACTTTCAAAACATCTTCTAACATGGGATTATCCAGGAAAGGTTGGTATTTCTACAACTGAGGATCATGCACCCCTCATTACCATATTTTATACAGAGACAAACCACACACTAAATTATGGATACTAACTCACAAGGTGAATTATTTAGGCAACAGGAGGGGAGAATGGAGGGTGGAGGGAAAAAGAGAACAGAAACCCCTTTCTTCCGGGATGGGTTTATTTTTCAAAATATAAAACAGTCAAAACTCAAACTAATACCTGGCCCATCCTAAAGCCTCTTCCTCAAAAGGTTTCTGCCACAGAGAGCTCCTTCCCCACCATTCCCTGATCATGGTCTTCTAGAAAGACTTTCTGATTTAGGTCGCCTGTATGCTCAGACATCACCTAAGCCCTGGCCTCAAACCCCTTACCTGGAAGGCAGCTAGTTAAGTCACATCTATACTAGACCCAGAAGGTCAGCTTAAGGTACGCAACTCCAGCTTTCTAAACAACATAGCAGGAGTCAACGTACCTTAAGGTGAGCTTGGTACCATCTCCAAAGCAGGACGCTGACCGGAGCAAATGCTCCCACCGGCTTTCCTTACTCCTCGCGAATCGAGGCATACCAGTGCCAACTGGGGCACCCTCAGCATTTCCTTTAGTGAATCCTTAATAGGCCCACTAAATCTAATGCCAGAAGATCTCTGGCACAGTAAGTATAGACATGGCCTAAGTCTACATCCTTTAAGAAGGGCCTTTCCACCCCAACATACAGAGGTTATAATGCATTAGTCCAAGGTAGGGATGTTAACTATTACTTTACTAGTCGATGGAAATTCCATCAACTACTCGACTAGTCAATGGAGTTCCGTAGTCTTCCTTTGAAATGTATAAGAGCCCCAGCATTTCAAAGAGGCAGCACCACATGGAGCCCGGGTACAGGCTCTCCGTGGGGCACTGCTGCTTTGAAGTACCCCCTTTCCCCCCCGCACTGCCTCTGATGGAGGCAGCAACAGAGGGGAAGAGGGGGAAGGAAATCGACTAGTCGACTTGACTATCAGATAAGCATTTGCTTATCAGATAGTTGACTAGTCCTTAACATCCTTAGTCCAAGGGCCACTGAAAGAAGGCAAATTAGTTCTCATTGCTTGGTATAGTGCTTGAAAGGCACTGTTTCAACAGAGTAAGAGGATTTAGCAAATGAGCTTAGCTAATTTTTATGCTATGCCAAACATGAAAGAATGTCTTTTCTTACTACTCTTATCAAACTATGTTTAAATGGTTCATCTTAGAATTAAGACCACTATGATCACTACAACTAGCTTGAAATCAATAGAGAAGAATTAGATAAAAAGCAGAGTGCAGCCCATGCAGAAGTTATTGCCCTCTACTCTTTCACATGCAGACCTCAGAAACATCCTTAATAAAGTCCATAGGCTGCACATTTGCTTCAGAACACTTCAAAATTGCCACCTTTGCCAAATTCAGGTATGGAACTTCTCGTCCATGTGTCCCTCTCGACTCTTCTACATACATAGCACTAGATTCTTCTCTCATCCCACCCAATCAGTCCATGGTTGATGTGAGTTTTCTCTGCTATTCTGTTAGCCATCTGTAGCAGACTTCCAAAACCTCACCATCTCAATTCAGACCACATTCTTTCCCCTCTGAATAAAAGACCTAATACTAAGTTAAGCATGCAAGTAAGCATTTAACTGTGGAAGGAGTGAACAAAGGTAGGCTCCAACTCTGCATTCAGCTGCAAATATTGAGATTTAGGTAACAGCAGTAGCTATTCGATAATCTGAGTTGTAAAGGACTATCCTTCAATATTACTAAAATGTGATAAAATATAATGCAGCATATCTATTGTGAGCCTTACTCTGAGGACACATGAAAAACATGACATGTTGCTTCAATTTATTTCACTGGTTGAAGTAATTCAGTATGCTTCAATATCAGCGTACAGTGATCTCAACCCATAGATTAACTCAATTTTAATTAGATTTGTTTAAAATATAACTATCCTGATTAAAACTAAAATAATTCCACCCTAATTAGTATTAACACAGATTCTTTGTTAAATAACTAACAGATAAACAGTGGAGTACCACTAGGATACTACAATTTTTAGCTATTAAAAAGGTACAAAGAGCAATGTTACTGTTTATATACACTACCTACCTCAAGAATCTCTTCAAGTATAACCAGAAGATCTTTTATGAAATCTTTACTGAGTTCTAATGAAGTCAAAGCTTTTGCATAAATACGAACATCTGGTGCAGTTGGATCCATCAAGATCTCATTGCAAATTTTCATAGATAAGCTATCATGAACTGTCAAATCCTGGAAAAATCATAAGGATATTCTTAAAATTAGCTGAAAGCTAGTTACACATAAGATGACAATGAAATGTGTCTGATGTAAGAAACCAGTCGGCTATGTTAAATGCCAAAAAGGTAATTTATCAAAAATCCACATTTTAAGCACGCACGTGCACATACATGCACATGTATAGAAGGAAGCAAACAGCTGCTATTGGTAAATTATGTACGCTTTAACCACGTGAGGGGGGGGAAAAAAAAAAAAAAAAAAAAGGTAGTGAGAGGTCATTGCGAATCTTATGCAGGAACCTCAAAGGAACAGGGAGAAATCTTCAGAATGCTAGAAGCGGCTGGGTTATTGGGACACAATCTCTAGCTATGAACATCAAAGTAGAATCCCGTCTGCCATAATCTACATACTTGGTAATCCTGTGACTTTTTGGCTTGAGGATTCAATCCACTTGGTCTTGTCAGGTCCACTAACAGTTCAGAAACATTAGCAATATCTACTTCAGCCAAAGGTGAAGATGCAGGAGCATTAAACAGCGTTCGCAGAGTTGGAAGGTAAGCTTCCTCAAAACATTCCTGATTAGTCCTGTATGAAATGAGTCAAATAATACTAATACAATACAAAAATGTCATCACAAATTCATTATAGCCTCAACCCAGAAATAGCATATTGTTTTGAGGGGCCTCAGAAGGCCAAGGCTTTCCAAACCAAAACTAAAGATTGGGGCCCACTGTAGACCAGAGGTCCTGTTTGTTTGCTGGATCAGAAAGAAGGCCCTGAGCTGCTTTAAGACCAAGTTACAGTAGAGTCTGGATTATCCAACATTCGGTAATCCGACACTGGGCTTTATCCGACCCTGCAGCTCCCGGGGACAAAGCAGCGCTGCAGCATCAGTGGCTCCAGGGCACCGGGTAGGAGAATGGCCTCACTCGCTGCCCCGTCACTCTCCTGGAGCCGCTGATGCCGCTTCTCCCGCCGCCCCCTGGTCCCCCGGAGCTGCAGG